GTCCGAGGAAGAAATATAAAAATTTGAAGCAATGTTTATTGGTATCAAACTAATTAAAGACAGATACCGAGAAAACAATGAAAAATTGGCGATTTGTTCAAGAGGCGGGGATGAGGGATTTTTCCAGTATGATTATATTGCATGAATATCCTCTTAGTATGGTTGAGCATCACGGGTTTCAAAAATATTGTCACACTCTTCAACCAATGTTCAAAATGATATTCCGGAACACTCTTAAAAATGATATCCTTCAAGTTTACAAAATCGAAAAGGAGAAGACAATGAAGTTGTTGGAAAAGATAAAAAGTAGAGTTGCTATCACTACAGACATGTGGTCATCAAACAATCAAAGAAAGGGATATATGACAATCACCACACAAATTTTATTGACAATTCTTGGACATTGGAAAGTCGGATTATAAGGTACTAATAATCTTTCATTAAGATGTGTTATTTATTATAAGGTACTAATGATCTTCTATTAACATATGTTATTTATTATCTTTAGATTTTTATATGTGTCTTATCCACATACCAAGGAAGTGCTTGTGGAGTGTTTGATGGATTGTTTTTTCAATTAAAACCTTGATAGAAAGTCGATCACTTTGATTGTGGATAATTGTACCACTAATGATGCAAATTGTGACTATTTTGTTGGATAAACTTCCATTTGGTTTACTAATATTGCATGGTCGGTTGTTCCATATGCGTTGTTGTGCACATATTCTCAACTTAATTGTTCAAGATGGTTTAAATGTGATTGGAGATGATATTGAAAGAATTCGTGATAGTGTTGCTTATTGGATAGCATCTCCCAAGATAGTGCAAAATTTTGAAAATGTAGCTCATCAGATACATATTTCAAGTAATAAGAAACTTGCTCTTGATGTTAAGACTCGATGAAACTCTACTTTTCTCATGCTTCAAACTAGTTTGATTTATAGAGATGTGTTTGCTCACTTGAAATATCGAGATTCTCATCACAAGATTTGTCCGACTGAAGATGATTGGGAGGTGGCAAGAGAGATTTGTGAAAAATTGGAATTGTTTCATACTGCAACAAAATTGTTTTCAGGTACAAAATATCCTACTGTCAATGTGTACTTTTCAACTATTTGTGGGATAAGAGTAGAAATATCTAAGTGGCTTCAAAGTCCCAAAGACGTGATAAAAGATATGGCCTTGAATATGTTGAAAAAGTTTAACAAATATTAAAGTGTGATTCATGGTGTTATGAGAGTAGCCACTGTTTTAGATCCATGGTATAAGTTGGGAATTTTGGATTATTATTATGAGAAAATGTATGGAGGTGTGGAAGCTTTAAATGAAGTGAAGAGGATTAAGGAGCTTTGCTTGGAATTGGTAGGCAAATATAAAGCGATGCAAGGAAGTGATTATGTACCACATCATTCTCCTCCCCCTCTTCAATCAGATATTGAATCTAAATGCCAATTAATTGATGATCTCTCTGATTTTGATAAATTTATACAAACAAGAGACATAACAAAAGCACGTGGGAGATCTGAGTTGGACCGTTACTTAAAAGATGATATGATGCAAAGAAGTTCAGATTTTGATATACTATCTTTTTGGAAGACAAGTGGTCCCAAGTATCCTTTGTTTCAAATGATTGCTAAAGATCTTTTTGTTATTCTTGTTTTTACCGTGGCCTCGGAATCTGCTTTTAGCACATTAGAGGCTTTAATGTGCTCTCAAAGTTGGTTATGTGTTGACGAACGAGGTAATGACATATTATTTGTATGTGCATCATAATTTTTTTTTTTTTGGGTGGGTAAAGTATGACTAATGCATTATTTTTTTTTTGTTAGGTTCATCTACTTCGACGGCCCTGAAGAGTTACACATTATTGGAGGATCTTGATATTGATGATAAGGTATATCGTTTTAGTTGAAATTTTTCTTTTTGGAAGAACCTAATTTTTTTTTTAATGATATAGGAAAATGATGCTGAAGAAGTAGATTCTACCACCACCGATGGAGTCAAGTGAAGATTGAGTTGGTGTGAAGCTGGTGTTAAGAGATTATTCTATCACCCGTTATATTATTTGTGTTATATTGAGTATTTTGGACATTTGTTGTTTGTGTTATGTTTAAATATGTTATGCTACATTATGTTGTTTTAGATTATGTTATATTATTTAGAATGTTGTTGGATTATTTAAAATGTTGGATTTATTTAGAATTTTAGATTATGTTGGCTTAAACGTGGATTTAAGCTTAGGCTTGGGCTTAGGCTTAGGCTTGGGCTTGGGTTTGGACTTGGGCTTGGGCAAGGACAGGGGAAATGGGGACGGGGACAGGGATTATAAATTTACTTGCGGACGGGGATGGAGATAAAAATTATACCCGTTAGCGGTGATGAACTGGAGATGGACAAATATTTTTTAAGCGGGTACGGGGATGAAGACTATACCTCCTGCCCCCGCTTCGGTCTATTGACATCCTTATTCACACTTGACAGGTGGTATACAAAACTATTTTGTGCATCATCAATTATAAAAAATTTGAAGTCAAGTTGCTCCTTTTAAATATGAAGTTATAATTGATTAGGGATATTCATAATTGATCACAATATTTTATGATTTGATCATGAAATAATTTCAAAATTTCAATTTTAAAAGGTCTAATTTTATCTCAAAAAATAATACCTTTCATTATGGTATCGATTTTTTTTTTCAATACCGTAGGATTACGTTAGAGATAAGAATACAAATCATTTTGAGAGATAACAAACTTGTTTTAATAACATAGAAAAAATAATTCCACAACAAACCAAATTATTTAGGAGTAGTAGGAACAATTTTCACCCATTTGAATCAATAGACACACTAAGAAAAAGAGGGCAAGAGTTCATAACAACTCACACTCATGAAGAATTACAACTATTCTTAAGGAAAATTGTCGGTGGCTATGGTTGAAAAGTCAAATACTTGTATTTGTGTTTATTTTTTCTTATCTATTTCTTATTTTTCATTTGTCTATCTTTCTTTATTTATTTTTGTTTATTTGGTTGCCAATAGAAAGAATTGAGATAGAGAAAAAGTAGACAGAAAACATGTGACTATCCTGCAAATTTAAGGTAGTAAGAGCAGTAATTTTAGCTTTTTGGGAGATTAATTTAATCAAATTGAGCTTAATAAAATCATATTAATTAGACCACACAATTGATATTATAAGATTGACTATACCTTTATCTTCAATTTCAAGGAGACGTTTATCATTTCTAAAATCTCAATAGATGAAGTTTATTTATATACTTTACTTTGAAGATATATTATGTAGATACATAAAAATCATAGATGAGGACTTTAAAACTTCAACATAAAATAACATTTGCCTCTAATATCTAGTTGGTTACGACAAGTCGTTTTGAGAATGAAGAATTTTCTTTTTTTTTTTGGTTTTTTGTTCAATAGTCACGATTGTTCATGTTAATTTACTCGAACCTCAATTAATCCCCTCCTTAGTATGATCAAAGGCAGATTATTTAGGCCGGCATTAGGGTATTCATAAGGGATAAATTACTAATAGACTCATCTCAAAAGATTGTTAAGATTTGAACTCAGAATATTTAAATATACAGTTCATCCTACTACCACTTAAACTACCCTTAGAGTTGAAGAATTTCCTTTCCCAATCAACTAATTTTATTAATCTTCTCTTTCTTCTGAAGAATCAATTTGATTTTTGGCTCGTGTCCTCTTTACTCGCTAAGTTTTAATTGTACCTAATAAATTTTCTTAGTTTTAATTAAAATATAAAAATATTATCAAAAAATAAAATTTGATAATTTCGACCGATCAAATCTCTTCAATAGCAAAATGTGGTAGAAACAAACATTCAAACTTATTAATCATGTGAAAACCCACCAAATAACGTAAGGACAAGACAATACACTTTTTTTCTAAAATTATATAAAAAAACTAAATTAATAAAAAAAGGAAATGGTCAGCAGACTCACCACAATAAAAATATATAAAAAATCATGCACGTATGGACAAAAATTAACTGCAATGTGTTAAACGCCCCCGCGGAACAATTCATTCATTTCCAGACGCCGAGTAGGTCGTTTCGAACACGACAGCTCTTATACGTACCATTGCTTTGTCTCGATTTTTTATTCGTCTCAAACCCTTCAAAACAATCCACAAATTCTTGCGTATAGTTATTTGATCAGGTAATTCATTTAATTTTTTCTCGACATTTCTGTGAAATCGATTGTTTTCGTTGCTTCATTCTAACCAGAAAGTGCGGATGATATTGTGATAGAAAATGTTGGAATTATTTGAGTTTGTGTATAGAGGAATGTATGCGTGTGAATGTTTTTGAATGTTCTGATGACATTGCCATGAAAAAGTTTCAATTCTAATGGTAAATTTGAAAAAGAAAAATTGAAAAGGGTCTGCTGCAATAATCTGGTTTCAATTTTGGATTTTTTTTTTGGCATTGTTACATGTAGAGAATTTTTTTGATTAATATGTAAAATTGTTTAATAGAATAATTTGCCAAGGAAGTGTTGGAGGTTGAGTTAGCAAAGGTTTCTCACTTATCATGTGTTTGGTTGCCGGGAAAAAACTAGGTAGAACTAAATAACACAAGTGTTTCTATTTTTCTTTCTTCTTTTGGGTCCCAACTTGTACAAAACTCACCTCGACAAAACTTACTTGAAGTCAGATATAGTTTTCTGTGTTTCAAAGAGTGAAAGGTGAATGATTTGGACTTTAGGTTCTTTTCTGCTCTTGAAATTGTCTACTTATTAAAACAGAACAATGTGATTATCAACACACACATATACGTGCATATATGTCTCTTGATGTTCCATCCAAAATTGAACATTCTGATCCTATCCTTCCGACCATTGTTTTTTATTCATAATTTTGACATTAAGGAGACCCATCTAGTTACTTATGTGGATCTTTGTGTCAATTTTGTCTCCAGATTATGTTATTTAGGTATCTCAAACCAAGGTAGAAGTACTGGATTTGCTTCATGTCTACAGGCTTTCTAAGTTTTCTTGCATTGGCTGGTAATTGTGTTGATGGCCACTTGTGAAGCTGTTATGCAAATGTTGTGCGGGGGCAACTGGCCAGTGCCTTGCCTTTTCAGTTCTGATCCTTCTTTTAGCAAATCAGAGTCAACATGTGTTTCTAGATCCTCTGTTAGATATAGAAAGAGAAGGGTTTCAAGTCATATTCAATTCCTCAAATGTTCAAGTATGGTAAGTAGGAGCATCGGTATTCAGTGGCTTCCAAGTATAGGCAGGTTTTCATCTGGAAATGCCAGAGAGGATGTATTAGGTCTTGGAAAATGTGAATGCTATTCGGCTGAAAATTTGAGTGGGATAACGGCAGAGAATGGAAATGGATCATGGTATGTTGATAATGCAAAGGAATTCAATACAATTAATGTTGACAAACCTAATGTTCTACAATTCGAGGATGTTCCAGAGTTGACACAAGAAAAGAATGTTTTCACATCCAACGGGACAGTCAGAGATACATTGCACCGGGCTAATGTTAACTCTATTGAGGATGAAGCATGGGAACTGTTGAAAGAATCTATGGTTTACTACTGTGGTAGCCCTGTTGGGACAATAGCTGCTACAGACCCCACCAGTTCCAATGTTTTGAACTATGATCAGGTCTTTATTCGAGACTTTATACCTTCTGGTATAGCTTTCCTATTAAAGGGGGAGTATGATATTGTTCGCAACTTCATCCTTCACACTCTACAGCTGCAGGTAACTATAATGGTTCTGATCTTATTGACCTTTTTATCTTCTCTGAAAAGTATTTGTTTACTCACTTCTATCCTGACGAGTTACGGGACAATTATGTGACTAGTCTTTCACTCATCCCTGTGATGATGCAACTGGGTAATGAATCAGCTTCAATTACTTTATGTTTGTTTTTTCGTTCAAGGATTGAAGTGCTTTTTTGGGTATTCGTGGAAAACATAGTTAAAATGGTGGCACATAGATTACAGCTTCCATTCTTTCCTGCCAGTTGAGTTTTCATTAACCAGAGACAGTTTAAATTTCAGGATGTGGATTAACTTCTAAATCGAAGTTTCCTACTAATTATGCCTTGGTAGAGATCAGTTCATTGTTTTTTCCCTACCCTCCCCCCCCTCCATCCCTTAACTTGGCTGTTAAATAAAAAATGAGAATGCTAGTGGCAGATGGTCTTAATCTCCCTAACGTTGGCGCCTGCATGCAATTGCTTTATCCACTTGGTCTGCACTGATTGATTGCTTATCCTTCTCTGTATTGGTTTGAGGTTTTCTTTTCATCCTTGCTAATACTACCGAGTCAACAATTCACGTCTTCATATCATGTTTTTTACTGGAAAGTTTCATTAGTATCTATTGTGTGGTCACATACCATAGTTACAGAAAGACTACACTACTGATTGGGTGTTGAACCACCAAAGCGTTGTGCATTTGTGCTCAATAACACTAATTTATCATTGATTCATTTCATTAACTTATTTCCTATATGCTATTTTGGACCCATTGGTTTTCTTATTAAAACCAGTAACCTCAAGCACTGAGTTTTCTTTTTTCTTTTTGGTTTTGTTTTGTTTTGTTTTAAGTTTTACAATTTAGCGTCATTACTTTCAAGAAAAAAGAAAGAACAAAAGGCCCATAGCATGTCGATAGTTGAAATCATCTAGGATGCACTAACTTTTCACATTGGTAATTCTGATATCTTGGATTCATACTAGGATATGAAGCAATTCTGCATTTTTAGTAATTTAGTTATCATTAACGATTACTTGTTTAAAGAGAATCACTTTGAATTTGTGGGGAAAAGTTTGAACATATTCCAATTATGATATATATTTCTATCACTATTCTATCACTTTTTTAGGGTGCAAGGAATACCACATTTCTTGCTTCTGTCTCACCTATGAATTCAATCTGTCTACCTTTTCAGCTATAGTGTATATTGGAAGGTATCATTGCTCCTGGATGTCTTTGGTTCTATCTGCAAGAAAAATATTGCATATTTTATATCAACAAAACATATTTGATCCCTTGTTGTATAATTGCATCTCTATATGATTAAGATATTTGTAATTGAAAATGGTTAATTATATGATTCACAAGGTAGTTATATGGGAGTTTTCATTTATCCATTCTAGTGTACAGAATTTTATTAAATAAAGGGAATACTAGACAAAGTCAGTGTACTTGCCTACATATTTTTGCAGAGCTGGGAGAAGACTATGGACTGCCATAGTCCTGATCAAGGGCTGATGCCTGCTAGTTTCAAGGTGCGCACAGTCCCCCTGGATGGTGATGACTCTGCAACAGAAGAGGTACTGGATCCAGACTTTGGAGAGGCTGCAATTGGACGTGTAGCCCCGGTTGATTCTGGTATGCAACCATGCCAGCCAATTGGTTCTGTCAAAATAAGAGAAACCTCCTTGTATTTGGATTTTATAGATGGGGGTGTCTTATATTGTGCTGTAAATTTCAGGATTATGGTGGATTATTTTGTTGCGTGCATATGGAAAATGCTCTGGAGATCTCTCGGTTCAGGGGAGAATTGATGTGCAAACTGGAATTAAGATGATTCTAAAGCTATGTCTTGCTGATGGTTTTGATATGTTTCCGACCTTATTGGTGACAGATGGGTCTTGCATGATAGATCGCCGCATGGGAATTCATGGGCATCCTTTGGAAATTCAGGTCATTAAGTTATTCAATTCATTCTATGCTGGATTTATTTCAGATCACTTGATTTTTTTTATAAGATTACTTGAAAAGAGGGTTTTTTTAGACCCTGTGCAGTCATTGAAAGATAAATTTGAAGACAAAAAAAAAGAACAGTCAAGTCCCAAAAAAGGTGAAAAGGAAATATTTATTTACTTTTCTTTGTTTGGGGAATCTTTTAGGGCATTTTTTATGTTTTTGGTTATAGTTGGTATAATTAGTTTTAGGAAGCACAGATACTCGTCGGGGGGTCGCCGTGGCAGTGTCGGACACGTTTCCGACACGGATACGCCTGTCCGACGGTCGGATATGTGTCCGACGCTTGTAGAAGTGTCCTGAACGGAGGCTGTCATTTTTTTTGGTCGGATACGTGGGGGATACTTGGGGGATACGGCGGGATACTTTTGTTATTTTAAAAACTTAAGTGGGTTGAAACGAAAAAAAAAAAAATAAGGCTAAAGTTAAGTCGTTTTGGCTTGAAAAAGAAAAAACTAAATCATCGTTGATCTATGAACCTACTCCAATTGACATTCGGTGTGTGTGAGAGAGAGAGAGAGAGAGAGAGAGAGAGAGAGAGAGAAAAGAAGAGGAGGAGCTCGAGAGAACCAGAGGAGGAGAAGAAGAAGGAGAGGGAAGAGGAAGGGCGACTCACCTGTGCCAGCAATCGCGCTCTACGACTGCGATCTTCTACTTGCTTCTATTTTTTTTTTTTTCAGATCTACTGCTGCTCTTACCTCTTCATCTTCTGGTCTGTGTGGAGTGTGGACTTTCAAAAAATTTGATTAAGTTAATTTGATTGGGAATTTTTAGGGTTTTCAAAATTTGGGGATTTTGTTTTGGTCCAATGTTGTGTTGCTTGCTGCCTTCGGGATTTTTTTTTGGTCTTGGTCATTTGTGTTGCTGCCTTTCTGTGCTAGTGTGCTGCTGCCAACTGATTTTAAATACTGAAAATTGCTTTCCTAGCTTGCTGCCTTTCGGTGCTATGTTACTTGCTGCCCACTGGTCTTCTCTTTTTTGTTGTGCTTCGGTCTTCTCTTTTTTTGTTATGCTTTCCTAGCTAGCTTTTTTTTTGGTCATCTGTGTTGCTGCCTTCTGTGCTAGTGTGCTGTTGCCAGCTGGTTTTGAAAATTATATATATTTTTTGAATTTTGATCTATTTCAATTTAAGTAATGTTTGCTATGTCTTGTTTGTTATTATTAATGTTGTTGTTATATATATAAAAATATATATAATTATTTTAATTAGCCGTATTCTCGCCGTACCCGTATCCTACATTTTAGAATTTTGCCGTATTGCCGTGTCCGTATCGTATCGGATACGACACTCGTGTCCGTATCCGTGCTTCTTAAGTTTTATCATTTGTTAGTGATCTATTTGCAAGAACCTATGAAGCATGGGGACTCTATCTAGATCGAAATGTCCTTGTCGGATATCGTATCAGTTTCGTACTTATCAAATACTTGAAGATACATGTTGGATATTCACCACGTGTGTACGGCAATTAGTAAAATATTCTTTCAACTTTGGATATGTCTCATATTCAGGCATCCAAGATAGGTATACATCATACGTGGGAGTGGATACCCAGAGTGGTTTATTTGTCTCTGTCTTTTATTTTACTTTATCCTTCCCCTCGAATTGATTGACAATGATACACATAGAAAAATCTACATGGCTTTGAAAGAACATGGGTGTTGCTTAAGTTTTATCTATTACATGTCAAAAGTTCATAAAATGAAAGGATTATACTGTGTCTTTTAGCAACAAGTATTTCTAAGGAACCCAACTAGTTAAATGCTGGTTTTGATTCTTTTAATTAGTTACCTTCACTTTGTGGGTATGCCATGATGCTCGTGATAAACGTGGAATTCGACACGGAAGGTGCCGAGGTGGATACTGCCAATACTTTGAACCATAATTCTATCTTTAGAGATCTTGAGGCCTTAGTAGTGTTTTACCTTTCCTGCTCTTGTTTTTGTTTGTGGTAAGCTAACATTGATCAACACCCTTGTGTAGAGTACATTGAAGATCTTCATAATTGTTTTCAGCAACTGACCTAATGTTCCCAAATTATAAGTATACCCTTGAAATTATCTTTGCAATTTACTTTATATGACCCCTAGAGTTTTTGAAATTATACATTATACATTTAAATTATGATCTTGAGTTTACTGTATCTCATTGACTATTAATTTGATCACATTGCACCATTAATCAATCAAATAGCTTTTTGGACTATTTTCGTCCAAACTTAATAATTTGTGTGGAACCAAAATTTATTTGTGCAAAGTATCAAAATTTGAATAGTTAATAGTGCAAAATGTTCAAATCAATAGTCGAGTGGGTAAAGTAAATTCAAGGTCATATTTAATAGAACAATACTATACCAGAACCCCACATAAATAGGGTGCTAAGTAATATGGAATACGCATTTGAAAGATATGCACACTCTTTTTCTTACATTGTGTTTGACTTTTTGGACTTTGCACTTAGGAGAGGCCTAATGAACTTTTTCTATATATATATATAATTAATTTGACAAGTTTGAATTGTTTTCATCGATTTTATTGAAGATAAATAATATATTATACAATGTGTCATGTGAAAATTTATTATGATAGGTTTTATATAATTAAAAATTTGACATTGACTATAGCTCATGACAAAAATTTCCCCTCACTCGAATAAAATCCTGGCTCTGTCCTTGCTTGTTTTATGTTTGGTAAATTATTAATCAATCTCTTAGATTTTTATTCTGATGTGTGTTCAGTCATCTAAACTCTTATTTTCGTGAAGGGGGTTTTTGAACTAGATAACTTTGTGACACATTCTAAGTTCATTGCTGTGAGCTAGGATTGCAATGGAAGGGTGTTTCCAAACTCGTTAACTTTATAAGTACATCTAGATTTATAACTCGTAGATTCTTACAAGTTAAAGGAGCGATCAATGTTTTTGAAGTTCAATTTGAGCCCGATTTGAAGATAAGAATAATACTATGAAACCATTGAGATCAAGATAACCATTTTGCTTGGACTTTGAATGCCAATATGGGTAGTTCGAGTTTATATTCATAACCTGTGGTTAGTTGAAGACAACAAATTGTGTTAAAAGTGAGGTTGAGGATTAATTAGAGTCTGATTTATATTGTTTGCCTTCAGCATAAAGCAGATTGGACACCATGATAAAAAAAATTCAGATATTTAGCTCCCTGCTTGAGTCTCGTTCCTTAAAGTTGATATCATCTAGGGATCAAGAGATAAACCTAGTTAGTGAGATCCTATGGCATCGTTTGATTCAGAATTACAGCAGTTTCACTTTTTTAACTGCAAAGTTAACTTCCCCTTCCATGTTGTCCTTCATCAGTCTCCTTCCATAGCTCATTAAAAAAGACTTGAAATTTTAATGTCTAACACTATGTTTGATACATGGTATTAGGCCTTAAGAATGGAATGAGCATTCCATGGGAATGTCATTCTAATGTTTGGTTTGCAGGATTTAAAATCCATTCCCATTCTAATGCAATACCTAACCCCACAAATTATGGGATTAGGCATTACCAAATCTAACATGGTATTCTCCATTCACAATCCACTCAGTAATAGTCCATTCCATCTGAAAAAAAAAAAAAAAAAACCCAATTGCTCATTTGCTCTCGCAGTCTCTCCCGTCTCATCTCTCTTTCTCTCTCGCACACTCTCATCAGATTTGCGTCTCTCTCTCTTTGAGATCTGACATTGCACACTCTCTGAGATCTGGGACAAATTTTTGCAATTTTCTTTGGAAAAATTTGTCCAAAATACACGCTGACATCTCCTTTTCCACCTTTTACACAATCACGGACGTCTCAATTTTGTGGGATTTCATTTGATTGGTTGGATTTGTTCCAATTGGGTGGATTTATGGAAAGAAATGTTTCACTCTGTGCATTGGGGTGTGTGATTTTGGTGAATGGTGGTGGGTGCTGGGGTGGTTTTGGTGTCGTAGATGTACAGAGGCGGTATGGTGTGGTGTGCAGTGATAGAGTCTTGTGATGGTGTGTAGCGATGGATTTGTGCATCCCAACTCTCCACTTTCATAGTCCTCGCTCTCTCTTTCTCTCTCTCTCTATTTCCAATGTTTTTCTAATTTTTGGTTTAATTATTGTGGGATTCATTTTTGTTCGAATTGAGTTTTGGTGGCGATTGTGTTGTCGTGGAAGTGGATGTTGGTGGTGGTATGGGTTTGCTCGAATTGGGTCTTGCTTTGAAGGTGTTTGAGAAAATGTCTAACAGAATAGTTTGCTAAATTCCTAATTAGATTGCTTGTTGAAATGAGGTTAGTTGGATTACATTAATCAGAGTTAATGATGGCATGACCTACAGGCATAATTTAGTAGTTTGATTGAATCTTTTAAAAAAAAAAATTACCTGCAGGCATAATTCCGTGTGTTAAAAATTTACTAAACACTTTGTTCAGGAACTTATATTTGATAGAATGGTTAGATTGATCCAAAACATTTCAGTTCTTGTATATATTCCTTGAAAGAACAAACAGTTCACCCGCACATGGTTGCTTGTATCAGTTCATTTATGAGACCTGTTCCCAGTTCAAGTCCTACAGAACTTCCATTACATAGTGATGGTGTAGGCATGCTTGATAGTTCAATCCAATGAGGTTTGCTGATGGTGTGGGAAATGCAAACAAGAACCAAGTCACATACATTCCATTTGGCTGGGGGTCTCGGGCTTGTTTTGGACAAAACTTCGCGCTGCTTCAAGCCAAACTGGGGCTGGCAATGATCTTACAATGCTTCTCTTTCGATCTTTCGCCATCCTATGCCCATGGTCCTAAAACTGTCTTGACTATGCAGCCCCAGTATGGTGCTCATGTGATCTTCTGAAAGCTTCAGGGTTGAAGACTATGATTTCATGATTCAGCTTGAAGTTGTGTGATGACTGAGCACTAGTGTTTATGATTTGATGACTATTTATATGGTGGTGTATTTGCTAATTTGAGTGAGAATAAGTCTTGTCTAGAGAAAGATAAGGAAAGGAGAAGGGATGAGTAGGTCTAATGGCACATAGAAGGCTGTTTTAAATAGCACTTGGTTTTTTTTTTTTTTTGGTTATTTGGTCTAATAGCACATAGTAGGTCCTAAAACATATTTTTTGGTTTTTTTTTTGTTTATGAAACACTTGTGTTACTCTTATCTGTTAAGCTTGAGTTTAATTATGTTTTCCATGAAAAATGTTATTTGGTTAATGATTACATTTTATTGTAGTTGTCAAATTTTGAAAATTAGGTGTATTTGTATAAGATTGTCTACATTAAAGAATTATATGATTTCTATTTTTTTTTATTTGTTGTTTATTATTGATTTTTATTATTTTTTTGTGAATTTTTTCATCATGTGATTTTTTGTGACGTTATTTACGACATATTTAATCTAATTTGTCAAATTTTAAAATTAACAGAAATATTCATTATAATGAAGTATGCAATAAATTGGAAATTTTATAATAAAAAATTATTTTGGTTAAATTTCATTCCATTCCAATAGAAATTATTTTATCCAAACTTTGGAATGGAATGGGCATTCCGTTCCAAGACTTAATCCTAATTAATTGTCAAACATTGGAATGGTAATATACATTTCATTCTATTCTCAAGTTTATTCCATTCCCATCTCCATTCCATTCCTACATAAATGAATTGCTGTGTACCAACGCAGCATAATTGTCTGATCTGCTGTATTTTACCTGGTGTCTTTTTGTACAATCTGCTGGTAGAGGATTACGTCACATTATAACAATCTTTATTTAGTGAACGTACTCAGACCTGGCCCTCCATGGAATGTGCAAATGATGGAATCCCTTTTCATTGAAGAAGTATCTACCAGGGGGGTTTATTTCTTGCTAGTTCATGCTGAGGGAAGATATTAGAGAAGACATGTCGGTGGATGAAGAATTGAGTTAATATACAAGACATATAAAATTTGATAGAAGAGTTAAGAAGTAAGATGCCAGGCGGATGCAAACCATCCTTTAGTTTGATTAGGAGAATGGTGATCATTGCATTAATATCTTACTGGTCAGGTAGGCAGGTTGAACTTGTTTTTTACCCAATGTTCCTGATAAGCTTAGAATTTTGTTTTGGTACAATTTTGGATGTTGGTTCAGGCACTATTTTATTCAGCATTACTCTCTGCTCGTGAGATGCTTACTCCAGAGGATGCATCAGCTGACCTTATTAGAGCACTGAACAATCGTCTTGTAGCATTATCCTTTCACATCAGAGAGTATTATTGGATTGACATGAAAAAACTCAATGAGATTTATCGTTACAAAACTGAAGAGTACTCATATGATGCCGTAAACAAGTTCAACATCTACCCAGATCAGATTTCTTCCTGGCTGGTGGAATGGATGCCTAATAGAGGAGGCTATCTGATTGGGAACTTGCAACCAGCTCACATGGATTTCCGTTTCTTTTCCCTGGGGAACTTGTGGTCAGTGGTGAGTAGTCTTGCCACAGTGGATCAGTCACATGCTATATTGGATCTCATTGAAGCCAAATGGGCAGATCTGGTGGCTGACATGCCCCTCAAGATTTGTTATCCTGCTCTTGAAGGTCAAGAGTGGCAGATTATAACTGGCTGTGACCCCAAAAACACGTAATCTATCTCCTTTTCCCATGTTAATTTTGTTTTCTGTCTAATTTTTTTATTTTTAGTCCCTTGAGCTAATTTTATTCTTTGTCATTCCATTCCTTGTTGCTTCTGATGCAGCCCTTGGTCCTACCACAATGGAGGTGCTTGGCCGACTTTACTCTGGCAGGTAGCAGTTTGTTTATTAATCTTTAGTGTGGTGCTAATTTTTTGTCTCATTGTCATGTTTAGTGTCCTTTTTGACTCATTCCTAACTCCATTTGCGGGCTAGAATCAGTTTGATATTAACCAATCTGCAGGCGAACGAGTGGACTTGCTTTTTGAATATTTTTAACATGTTTTATTAGCATTGGAATGGAAGTTCCCATCCAGGAGCAACTATGATGATGGGATTGGTTAGATACATTTCATTTACGAATAGTCTGGTAATTAGAATTCAATGATCGAGATTTTGAGTTGCAGTTGTGCTGTCAAATTTATGTGAAACAGATAATTTTAGCAAATGTTCTTTTGGGTGTATCTTGACGGTGGTCTCAAGGAAACCTGCTTCTCTTCTTCTCTTTTCTATTTTCCCGGGTCAGAATTTGCTTCTTTGAATTAAACAACAAAAACATAGATTCCTTTAGATGATATAATTACACAAGAAACATCTCTATGTCACTCATGGAAGGAGGTCTTTGCTCTGCAGTCTAACAAGGTCATTTTCGAGGTTGATGGGATTAAAACAACAAATTAAGAAACTAAACCCCATTCTTACGTGGGAATTCCATCAATGTTTCCTAAATCGGAATATTCGTAATTATTTCATGGCAATCTGAAGTACTTTCTCCTTGAGGATTGCTTCCAAACCCATTCTTTGTCTATCTACCAAGAGTTAGAGATTGGGTGATTGGGCCTGTACATGATGATGATATATAATTTTGTATCCTTGAGGTCATTTTCCGCTTTAGGTATGCATTTTATATTGTGCGGATCTGCATAGTCTATCACATTTAAAGTATCCAGGATACAGCTCCGGTTAAATTACCACCCTGCTTGGATGGTCACCATTTGAGGGGTGTGGGGATGTGGAAGTTTACTTTTCTTTTATTCTTTTGACCATGTAGGACCTATGATTTATATGGCATGCTTTTATTAACTGGGCTGGCTTTTACAAATTGGTAGATATATGATTTGATAGATGACGAACAAGACATATAATTCACCTTTTGCAGCTCACTGTTGCATGCATTAAGATGAATAGACCAGAACTTGCTGCTAGATCTGTTGAGGTTGCAGAGAAACGCATATCACAGGACAAATGGCCTGAATATTATGACACGAAAAGAGCAAGGTTTATTGGCAAACAAGCGCAATTGTTCCAGACCTGGTCAATTGCAGGATACCTTGTAGCAAAACTCCTCCTTGCTGACCCAAGTGCAGCCAAGATTCTGATTACAGAAGAGGATTCTGAGCTTGCAAATGCCTTCTCTTCTGCAATCAACGCTAACCCAAGAAGAAAACGTGGTCCAAAGAATTCCCAAAAGACGTATATAGTATGAGATTTGCATCATCAAAATTCTTAAAAAATGAAAATCAGTTGATTGGCATTGCTTGCAATGTATATAGATGTGGTTCCTATACCATTTTTATGTGGGTATAGATGTTCCTCCATTGGAAAATTATTTGCGATTCAGCTACTGAAGTGCATTATTTGGTGTCGCTTTTGGTTTAATTGTTCTCTTACTGGGCAAGCTGAAACTTTATTATACGCTCTGTTATAAAGTCGAATTCCATTGTAAATATTGGGTACTATATGTTCTAGGATAGCTGGTTGTAACGAAATTATCCGATTCTTACATTGACTAACCATTCTTGGTTGCATATATATTATATCAGAAACATCATTTATAGTGGATGGTTTATTGTTTCCAGAGTTTGCTATTATTTTTGAATTCTGACATTTTAAGAATCTAATGTATGCATGTCAGAGTGAATAGTGATATGCTTTTGGTTCTGTGCAATGGGTGTGATATGTGAGAAGTTATTGATTAAAGGCAAGTTATTGATTAAAGTTACCAGTTGAGGATATGCAATGAAACATGTACAGTTATGGTAGTTCTATGGGAAGGTAAACACTCAATTGACACATAAGAAGAGTGATACAATGTTATAATTGATATATGATATCGTCGACTGATAATAAATAAATGTGTAGGCTGACATAGGCCGTGGGGGAGAGGGTGAGTCTCCTCACAAATGTTATATTGCCAAGAGATTTTCAAAACATGGAGGGAGCGGCCGGCGGTCCACCACCACCACAACCCCACCGCCCACGCCTGCCAGATCCATCACGGCATTGTTTGTTGAGATTCTAATTTTCTTTCGGCTGCTTATGAAGCATTTCATACACAACTTGTTTTGAAAATAAGATAAAAAGCTCAAACATAAGACAAAAGGTCAAACATTGACCAGAGCTTTGGATACATAGCAGTTTGTATTGTTCGACACCACTGTGTTCTTTAGCTCCTGGATGTAAGCATGATAGACAAGTACACGGTACTAGAAAACATAACTGCCATTTTCAAACTGATTAAGGGTCTTGATAAAAATAAATAAATTTTTTTGATTAAGGGTCCTACATTTTGCTTGGAGATTTGTATAAATAATACAAAATATGTTTTTATTAGTGTCTATCATATTATTTATATCCATATTACTTATAAATGTCAGTATCTGTGAAAAAAATTAATTTTTTTTATAATAATTATTATAAATTCAATTAAATTCACATATTTACTTTCATCACAATTTTATTATTTATACTTATTTGATTTCAAAGGTTTTTTGGAGTCTTTTATTAGTAGTATTTGATTTCTTCATTCTTTTAAAATAATTTGTTAGTAGTATACTTATTACTTACATACAATTTTCTATATTTATGTTATATTAATATGAAGTCTAATTTATATTATATTATTATATACATTTAATTGCTAGGTTAGATTCTATGATCAAATATATATTTGTTTACACCCAAACATTAAAAAATTTAAGAATGACACGTAGCGAGATCCAACGGTCAGTATGAAGCTGGAAAGAGTCAAGATAGAACAAGACAATTAGAGGGATAGGATTCCTTGAATCACGAAAAACGAAGGGACGTGATTTCTTGAGCCACCAGATGCAGGCGGTATGTTTGAGAGTGTTGGGAAAAGAGGTCATGATTGCAATCATGGTCGAAAAAGATGGTTTCAATGGTTAGAGTCATCCCCTATAAACATCGAAGGCAAGGTTGCAAAGAAAGGATTCTCGATCAACACACAACACTAGACAGAGCTAGCCTCTTCCTTACTTAGCGTATTTTCTACAGTTTTTTACTTTGTAACCATCACTCTGGTGATCTTTCTTTTCAGTTAATTCTAAGCATAGTAGATTGCACAACTCTCCTTGCTGTTTACTTCATTATTTTTTATTACAATATCTTTTCCAAATCTAGTTCATTAAGTTGTTGCAATGAAAATTATTTTAGTCATTAATATCAAAAGCAGAGAAAATAGTCTAGAAGTAGTCTTACATTTCATTACAATCGTATAAACAGTTACAATTTTAGAACATCACGTCAGTTCAAATAAGTAAGCTCGTAAGTATTTAGATTTTAAGTCCATCTACACTTTGACACATCCGCAATCCAAAAATACGCCAAACATATTTTTTGGCACGTCCGGTGGGACATATTTTAGTAAGATGGCGAACACCTGTGGAAAAGCCAAAATTGGTTTAGTAGAGTGCCCCTAGTGCACGAAGTGGTTGAAAAAGACAAGTTTGGCGTCCCTAACCTGTAGGAAGAATGGCCTTCACCCGGGGGGGGGGGGTAAGAAAATTGAGAATTCAACTAAGAGCTGGAGGCATTGATTAAGGCATTTTCCTAGGAGGTTTCTTAACAGGTTGTAGGATTCATTAATGGCCTAAGAGACTTGATAAAAGTAGAGTTGGTTGTACCCTCTTTGACAGTTTCAACCACCAGGGGATGCAAGGCATTCACCGTTCCCATCCAGGATGAGCAATAGTAGTAAAGGCACCTTAACTGATGCTTCCTTCGTATGTGACACTTTAGAGGGCGCAGTCGGACATAAATGACCTTGGAGAAACAACAACCCTCTGTTCTAGAAGGATATGCCCCTATTTTCCAGTTGGGGGGGGGGGGGGGGAAGGGTAGAGGAGGCAACCACCGATTGTTCTTCTAGTGGCCTGTAGGTGGTCATGAATAGAGACTAGCTGGATGAGATTATTTATGAGCATGTCGGCCCACCATGAGGTTAGTCACCAAGCTAATGTATTGAAAGCCATATCCTAACTAGGTCGATAAGGAGCATGAAAACCCTTATAGTTATAAAGTCCCATTATTTGTGACATTCTTAGGAGAGGACAGTCAATCGACCATCTAACACATAGGTTGTTTCACCATACAATGCGGTGAGGTGGGGGCAAATGAATTCTTGTAGCTAAGGTTGTTTTTGAATTAGCTAATTGGAATAAATTTTAGATGGTATATAGACTTGTCGCTTAACTCATTGTTAAGCTGGTAGTAGTTGCAAGATAAATTTCATGCTTAGTTTTATTGCATTGAGCCCGAGGTAGCTATGGCCAACTTAGCTAGATTATATCAAATGACTGTTGAAACGGCGAAGCAATATATTGCTCGTTTCAAGAAGGCCAGGAATAAATAAAGGTTGGCCTTGTTTGAGATGGAATATGTGAGCTTAACGCAAAATGCTCTTTGCTTTGAGCTTCAAAAGAAGTTTGAAGGAATGGAATTCAACGATTTGTTCGAGTTGGCAACACAAGCAACGCTATAGGAGTAGTTTCTTCATGGGGAGCAGGATCGCCTCTAAGGGACTACTATTGTGAGCCTACTATCCTTATGGTCAAAGTAGACTAGGATTTACAGGTAAATATGGCAAAAATTATGTCTAGATGATCACATGTATGCAAGGCCCTATCTAGGGCCTCAGAAGAGTAGGCGCAAACTCCGTTGAGCACTAAGAAAGAAGCCGGTGACAATAATAAAAAATACAAGTTTGACACTATGAAGGCCCATCAGATCTTTGACCACCTTCTAGTAGATGACGTCATCAAGCTATCTTATGGTCATAAGATTCCCCTGGCCGCAGAGCTAAAAGGAATATCCTATTGAAAATAACACAACTTGTGGAGCCACGCTACCAATAACTATGTGATATTCCGCAATGCCATTCAGGATGGCTTAAATAAAGGACACTTAATTTTTGGTGACAAAGGCAAGTTGGATATGTGAGTCAATAAGGATCCCTTTCAGAAGACCACTACCATTAACATAGTAGAAGTGGGGTAGCCAAAATCCCCACAGTAGAAAGTTGACTTAGGTAATGGAAACATGAGTAGTGTTGAAAAGCCTAGCAAGGGGAGGGACATTTCCCTAAAGACGAGTCATCTGAAGAAGATCCTCGATTAAATTTAGGTATGTGGTCGCTATACAAGAACAATTGGACATTGTAAAAAGAGGAATGTGCCCTAGGTGCAAAGCTTACTATGGGCTTACTGTAGAAAAGGAGGAGTGCGACAAAGCGGGTGAGAGGCTACAAAAAAGGTGGCACTATAAGGGCACCAACTGAGATAAGCCTGGTGAATAGCCACTATGAAAATTGGACCATGAGGATCGACCTGACAAGTTCATGAAGCTAAGTTACAAGGAACATGGAGGAAGTGACAAGGATTTGCCAAAGTTCCCACGGGGACAGACCATGCTTAGATGTGAAGAGTTCTCCACGAGATTGATGCTTGAACAGGTTGTAAGGATCAAGGGGTATTCAGGATTGCCTGAGGATGATCAAGTTAGCAGAGCTCCTGGAAGGCAGATGATACATGACACAACACCCAAATCTCTCGTAGTACCACCAGCTGCCTCCAATTAATATGACTCAGAAGAGGCAATGTCAACACATATAGGCAGACATGCTAAGGTGGGAAGATGATTAGGAAAAAGAGGCTTAAGAAGGACGGGAATCTTTGTACTTGCATTATCCCAGTTCGATGGTAATAAAATTAGAACACAGGTGCTCAACGACATGTCATGGTGCTGAGGAAGGGTATGGCTGCGAAAAAAGGAAAACAAAAAGTGGAGATAGAGCCTTCACCAGAGGATGACCTCAAGGAATGAATGGTAAAAAAGGTGGTGGAACAGCTTCAGGCTACGACAAATATCCCTTTAGGGACATACACAAGAGGATATAATGATGACACTTGTAAACTCCCATGTATTTATAATAATGCATATTGTGTACTATGTGTTGCATGAACATAAAATGACTTAAGAATAGGGATATAGGGTGTACCAGAGATTTTTTGAATCTTGGGAATCATCTTTGGGAGAAATTAAGAAGAGAATTAACTAGATACTTTCTTAGTATTTTACTCCTAACTTTTTACTCTGATATTAGATTGACCTAATTTTTGAACAGTAAGAACAAGATTTCAAGATCTACAAAAGAGTATTTCACAAAGATTTCGGAAATCGACTTCTTAATGGGTCAAAACTGCATTGAAGGTTTAGACAAGCATTAAATTCACGTTCGAACAAAGCATAGTTACAATACTTAGGTGTTTGATAGAAATTGAAATACTGGGAGCAAGGAACATTTGAACGTAGGTCACGTTCGAACAAGGAACATTCAAACACAAATTACGTTCCAACTTAAGCGTAATTTTTACAACTATCAGGCTCGTGTTGACTGTTTAGATTTGACCTTACAAATCTCCTAAAGACATTTCTTCGATCAGTTTTTAGTAGCTGTGAACCCTAGAAAGCCAATAAAGGGTGATAGGAAAGAGAAAAGGCTAGGCCGTGAAGGATTAATGCTTAGGAAACAAACCAAAACAC